TAAGTACAACTCCTCCGGTTTCATATGCAAAAAAAATTATTGCGCTAGCTCACGTGGTTGCAGAGCTACCGGGATTTAAAAATAGTTACGCAAAACGGAGCGTGCTGCTCTGACCGGCTTTAAAGGGTTAAAGAAAAGACCCTTCAATAACAGACAGAACCCCCTGAAAATAGCCCAGAGTCAGATGAGCGCTCTTTGAGCAGATTTCAAACCTTAATTATTGGATTATTGTCAAAAGTGGAAGAAATTTCTTGTTCCAAAACAAAGTGGTGAACAGATGAAGGGAAGAAGTGAGCGCTGTGGTGAACCTCCTGCTTTGACTACAACAATCTTTGTCCCACAGAAGTGAATTTCAGAAAAACTTAGTCAACAGCAGAACAGCAGAGAGGAGCCTGTGTTGATGAATTACAGGAAAAATAATAATGCACCGACTGATTTAATTAAGGTTTAATTTTAGTGTAAGTTTCCTGCCTTTTTACCACCTTTTCCTTTGAATATTATTAATGTCTGAAACTGTAAGAGGGAGGAAAGTCAGTAAATTCATTATTGAGACAGGAATTCTGAATCTGTTCATAGATAGATATAAACATGTAACTGCGCAGTTATCTCTGCTTAAAATGAAAGGATTTCAGTGACAGAAGGAGGAGCAGCAGACTTACGGAGGGCGTGCCATTCGTCCTGCCTTATCGTCTTGGTGATGTTGTAGGAGAGGTTTTTGGGTATCGTAGCTGAGGAATAGTGATACTTGATGTAGGAGCAGCGAGTGATGGAACCTGCAAAGGAACAAAAGGTTTTTATAAACAGAACATTTACACAAACATTCACATACACAGACTGAACAGAAGCTTCAGGTCAGACGTGATTCAGCTGGAGAGGCGGCGTCTGCAGTGGACACACAATCAGCTTCCTGCGTCAGTGGTGAAGAAACTCTTTAACATCAAACCACAGCAGGAACACAAAGGCTGAAAAATGATGTTCCTCTAAAACTATTGACTAATTAATGAGGAGAGCTTTCAGCGTGCACTCTAACAGCACCGTGTTGGCTGGAGCATCGATCATAAAACAAGAAAGCACAAATAATTTAGAAATCTGTCAAAGACTTGTTCAAATTAAAAATTACATCATTACTTATGATGAAAATAGCAAATTAAATTCACGCTCAGGAAGGCAAGTATGTATAATAACTAAATATAATGCTGTAATGCACTGCTGCATACTGCTGTGTGCTGTTGTTACATTTACAGCACAATTACTCAATAAATTGGAAAAATACAAGTTTTTTGGCATGTTTGGAAATTCTTTTGTTACAAAAGTTAAAATACTTCATGAATATGATGAAGACATCTTTCCGTCTTTGCATTTTCTGCTTACTCCATTTACAACTATTTGATAAAGGCGATTGTTTCATCTGCTTTTTTCTAGCTTAGTGTTGCCTTTACACACATTCGTCCTGTAGCTCTGTGGCCCGACCCACACCAGAACAGTGACTGTGATGCTGTGGGTTCATAATGAGGCTGTAATTTCCTCCGTTTCCCTTTGACACCATTACTGCTGGCGAGGCCACGTGGCTCACAGACATGACATCATTAGAGTCTTTGGAGGTTTGAATTACACAGACAAGACAATCATACCACCACATGCATTTCCTCAGTCCTGAAAACACAAACACACACACACCTCGTGCATATGGTACGACAACTTTTGTCCGTGCCCCTGGTACACTGTGCAGAAACACTTTGCCACACACACACACACACACACTGCTACACCGTGGTTTATGTGAGCGTAACATAAGGGTTAACAAACAGCTCCCCAACACCAGACAAGCAAAAGCCGATTCACAGACAAAGGTGACGTTTATTGCTCCGCCTATAAAAGCATGAACTCTGAGGTGAACCGAGGCCCAAATAACAGACAAAACAACCAAACCCAAGTCGTACCCCGAGCTCCCTACCCAAAGAAAACTTACAAAAAAAGTAGTTCCCACTTTCTGCTTCGATGCTATTTACAAATGGGCAAAGTTATTGGCAGCGTTAATCACTATTAATCACTTGGAGGCTGAGGACCGTCTACTGCTGAATACGCTTGGACAGGACCAGCACTGGTTGGCCGAGAATCTCCTAGTTTTTTATTTTTTTAAGTTTTCTTCATCATTAATGTAATCCAGGGATATTTACAGATATTTCCAATCACAGAGGGCACGGCTAAGACTGAATAAAAAGCTCAAATACTATATCTCACAGAAAACATTTAATATTATCCAGAGATTGTTAAAATAAACTTTAAATGAAATAATGCAGAGCAAATTTTTCATTTCACCTTTGTAAAGCAGAAAACAGGTAAATAACGTCTTAAGCTTTGTACCCAAGAAACTAAAGAGGGTTAGTTAAAGGGTCTTTCTCTATAATGAACACACATTAAATGCATGCTTCTGTTGCAACAATGTCTCCATGTGTTGTGTGGAAAGTACATAAGCAGGTCGTACGTCCACACACGTCCCCCTGCAGAGCTACTCTGGAGGACTGATGGAGCACCGTCACACACTCCTCCCTGCTGAAGTGCAGTCAGTTCTCTGCAGCTGTTTTTGTTTGTTTGTGCATCCTTTTCAGGGTCGTGGGGGCGCTGGAGCTTCTCCCAGAGGCGAGAGGCAGGTACACCCTGGACAGGTCGCCCGCCTGTCGCGGGGCTAACACATGGACACAATCATTTGCACTCACATTCACACTTGGGGTGAAATCCCACACAAACATGTTGTCCTGCTAAAGGGGCAGTATATTCAAAACCTATAAGCTCTGTTTGACTTATTATTTAAATAACTTTCTCAATATGACCTGTTGGATTGTTGTGTTTCACTAACACTAAACAATCTGCTTTTGCTAAATCCGGTTAGGCAGGTTATGTTTTGAGTAATGGGGAGAAGTCCCATTAGTCGAGTCCATGTTTGTCGTGGGGGAAGGAGGTTTGTATGAAACATTCGTCATCCTTCTGCTCTCCCCTCGGCCTGAAGCTGCCTGTGTTGTTTCCTGAGAAGTGCTAACCTCTCCGCTGCT